TCCAGAAGCAGATGCGTACTTCTGGCTGGCCAGCTCAGCCCTGCTTCCAGCTGGGCCCTGTGCTGCTGGGCCCTTGGCCTGCCTTACCTTGAGGTGTTCTCGGGAGTTCCTCACACGTGTTTCTGGAGCATGACCCACAGTTCGGACCGCAGCATGTTACACTGCTTCCTGCACGGTGTGATAGACTTGGTCCTTGCTTCTGGCACTGAGAGTTCAGGGGCCGCGGTAGCCGTGCCAGGAAGCCTTGCCTGGCTGGAGATGCCGAGCAGTTGAGGGGCGTTGAGCGGCTAAGGGGCGTCCCGCACCCTCTGGTCTTCCGTGAGCTCTGGCTGCAGACGGCGGCGTGTTATGGGAAAGCCCTCATTTCTCATCCGCAGAGCGAAGCCGACCTCGAAGGGGCGATCTGGTGCCTGCAGAGCACGGCGGTACTCGACGACACTGAGGAGCCTGGGGCTACTCTTACAGAAAGTCTGCAAGTTCAAGTCTGGTATTTTTATTGCACGTTCTGAGCGGGATGTGGCCAAACGCGTAGGTTATAACACGAGCAGACGGGCAGTAAAGGTGAGAATTCCTCGGCGCGGCACTCAGCGCTGAGTGACGAACGCAAAACAAACGCCGGCAGCGGCACGGCGCACCCGCACACACCGCCTACGGTGGGCTGCGCACGCGCCGTCCGATGGGGGCGGTGCCGCGGCGCGCTGGTTTGCATGAAGTACCCACGGGGCGCCGCGCGGCAGAGCTTCGATCACATTGCCTGGCTGCGGCTGGCCGGCTGCGGGATGCTGCTCTGAATCGCGGCTGAGTGGATTCCAGCCGTTGGTGCACGGTTTTCTGGAGCCGGCAGATGGGGCAAACAGGGCGGCGAACGTTATTCACCATAAGCATGCAGAACTCTCATCTATGGAGAGATAAAAGATGGCTGTGAAGATCTAGGAGGTGGGATGTTCTGAAGACCTGCTCTCTAGGCCACGCACGGAGGACGCTTGTTCCTCGAGGGCCGCGTGCCCGCCTAGGGGAAAGTCCCCGGACCGGCGGCAGAGAGTGCCGCGCGCCGCCGGCGCCCGCCGCGCCCCGCAGCTCACGCACGCCGCTGAGACGCTCTCGGGCCGAGCGGGTGAGCGCGGGGCGGGCTTTCGTCACGGCCACAGACACGCAGGTAGTGCGAAGGCGAGTCCCGCCAGCCGGGGCCGCAGCACCAACAGAACGGGGCTCACTCTCAGGGCATCCCCTTTTGGTGAGCCCACCCTTATTCGCACCGACCGCTCCTCCGCGAGAGAGCCGACAGCGACTGCCCAGCCGCGCGGGGCTGCTGCCGGAGCTGAGGGCTGCTCCGTGCTCCTGTGGCAGCGGTGGAGCCTCCCGCCGCATGGGAACAACGGCTGCCACCGTACTGCTCGAAATACTGAAGGCATCCCGCTCTCTTTTCCCGGAGCTCTCCATGTGATCGAGTAGAAAAACAGATTTAAAATTCTATTTATGTCATCTAAGCACGTCGTTCAAAAACGCTATCAGAAAACTCACCACCAAAGAAACAACTGAACGAAGGCACGGCTCCGTAGAGCTGTTTGTTGTTGAGAAACTGTAACGAAATCCCAGCATTCTCGTCCCACTAACAAGGATGCTTCCAAAGCTCTGTGCAGCCGGCACCTGCGGCCGTCAGCCCTCTGCAGCAGGAGGAGCCTGCACGGACAAGATGAAGCTGTGCACAGAGTCGTGGGTACCTTTGGTCTTGGGAGCCTACAGCTTGTGCTCCGGGATGGTAACAACTGTGATTTGGCCGGACCTGAGTCACTGAGTGAGGGCGAGTGAGGGTCCAGCCAGGATGTGATGATACAGAGGTGGCCCAAGCAGAGCACCGTCAGCACTCAGCATTCAGACCTACAGCCTTTGGGGAGCCATGGCAGAGGGTTTCAGGTGCATTTAGGACACGCTCGCATAAACGTTCTGAGAAAACCAAGTGTTATGTCAATAGTGGGCAATGTTTTCAAGGATATGGAAGGATAATTCGAAAATGGCAGTTGATCATTTCTGAGCTTGGCTGTACTTAGCTAAGGCACTAGGCGACAACACCAGTCACGTATTTTCTTCCTCCAGTAGCATTTCTGCAAATAAAAACAAATGGACAGCTGTAACATCAGAAGCCATGCACTCTGAGTGGTGGTGAAGCAACATTAGGCCCAAGCAGACTGCAGAACTGTCTGTTTTAAACGCTGTTGTCAGAGATGAATTCACACTGGGCAAAAGATGCTTTGCTCCTACTAGGAAAGCAGACCCGACATTTACCAGGCATTCTAGACTTTTACTGCAGGCAAATGGTATGCACAGAGATGCTGCCCTTGTTTTGACAACAGTCTTCTAACCCAAATCCTTACTGAGTCTGTAACAAATGTCACACTCATAACTGGTAACTATAGGCATCTAATTACCCCATTTCCGTATACGGAATGGAATTCATTTTGCAGACATCTGTGACAATAGACCTGTGCTCCCCTTACAGTCAGTGGAGACATTTTTAGGGCAAGGCGTGTTTACAGTGGATTACTGCCACCTTTATTTCCTGATGTGGAAAGGAAAACATCCACATACACGGCAGTATTATGAATTCTTTAAGCCAGGCTTTCATCAGGTGATTGGTGTTGTTCCAAATACATGAACTCAATTATTTTACGGTTTTATTCACTGTCTTTTAAAATGCTTTTCACAGCATAGTAGTAATTAACTATGGTACTAGGTGATACATCAGCATAGAGTAACCTTGTATGTTGAGAAATTCTTGAACGCATCTTGGTAATTAACTCTTAAAACTCTTAATTAATAGCCTATAGTCTAAATGAAACTATCTGATAAGCTACTCAAACTTCCAGCAGGTGCTCTGGGTGCTCTCATTTCACAAACTTAATGATAGAGGTGTGTATGTTTGATCCTCACAAGAAATAACAATGCGATTTTCACATGCTGTGTGGCAGAAATCAGTATGGGCCCTAAAATGTAGCTTGTGTAAGAACACATTAAAAAATCATTTGCTTATCCTTGGCAGTAAGGGCTCTGCTTCTCAGTAAGGGCTTTTCCATCAGTCAACCAGATTCTCCTGTTGACTTGAAAGGAGGAGGATCAAGCTTCAGGACTCAAGAAGATAACATGATTGTGACATATTTCCATGAGACTAATTCATTACCATTCGTCACCTAAACTTCAGCTGCATACTTTCCAAGACATTTGGGATGGTCACACACTCTGTAAATCCATCAACTGTTTATGTTTTAAAACAGTAAATAAGGTGGAAGAGTCATAGAATCACAGAATGGCCTGGGTTGAAAAGGACCTCAATGATCATCTATTTTCAACCCCCCTGCTATATGCAGGGTCGCTAACCACCAGACCAGGCTGCCCAGAGTCACATCCAGCCTGGCCTTGAATGCCTCCAGGGATGGGCATCCACAACCTCCTTGGGCAACCTGTCGCTGAGTCACTGTGTGAAAGCTGTTTCTAGGGAAAGAAAAAAAGAGACATGTTAGTTCAGCTATGGCTGGACACATCTATGTTCTGTATGATGGAGGAAGTACCCTTCTCAGAGAAGCAAAAGCTCCTGTTTCACATGGACTTGGGTGTCAGCCAGAACAATCAATCAGCGAGGACTCAGCAAGCTGGGGTCAGACTCCTGCCCTTGCAGGACACTTCCTGACCCTCCTGAGCTCCAAGTGTTTTTAAGAGATGTACTGGTTAGGGTATCACATATAGTCAATTATGATCCATCAGCTTAGAAGGAGCGCGATATCATCGTTTGAGCATTTGCACTAAATGCTAGGTGTGTAACTGCAATCCCTTATTAGACTCGTCTTCATCAGCAATGCTGCATTTTCTTATTGTTTTCATAGGCTGAAACGCTTCCTAGGCTTTTCAGTGGAAGGGTGAACAGCCACCAAAAGAACAGATGAAGCCAGGTCACAGGGGCTATCAGGCTGCAGCACAGTCTGTAATTGACGCCGAATTTTTAATTAGCATATTTTGCTTTACTTCTCTGCTGCGTAGCAGGAATCTGTTTCTCAGCTTTATTTCCTCACGATAGAGCAGAACGCTGCAGCCATTCACACTCATTACTACCCTTCATTTTCCGAATCTGTGAAAGCTCTGCCTACAACCTTGTTTACACTCCTTTTCACGCACTCGCCAGCACGCTGCTAACTCGGGCAAAGCCGTCTGCAGACAGCCATTACTCAACGCCTCAGATGCGGATTCCGAAAGCCGCCGTCCCAGGACAGCCCGTTAGCGCGAGCCGAAAGCGAAGGATGTGCTCAGAGACTTTCCCGAAGCGGGTGCAGAGAAACAAACACCGCCGCACCCGCGGAGGATCCCGCGCCTCAGCGCCCCCACAACCGCCGCCCGCCCACGCGCGGCGCTACCGGGGCACCTGTGGAGGGGCGGGGCGAGCCACTGCCTCATAACCGTCCCTCCGCCCGCCGCCGTGGGGCTGCGCGGTGCCGAGAGCCTCCCGGCAGGTACCTCTGTCGGGGAGCGACCCCGCGCTGCTCCCGGCGGAGTCAGTGCTCAGCCGTCGACAGAGCGGGAGGAGAAAAGGAGAGCGCGTGGGCCTTTAAGAGAGGTCCCGCCCCTGAAGCGTGTCCCGCCCCCTCCCGCCAGCCGGGCCAATAGGAGCACAGGAGAGAGGAAGGCGGGAGAATGCGAACCCCTCGCAGCGCCTCTAGCCGCGCCTTATAAGGGCAGGGCCTCGCGCATGCGCGTAGCTAGGCGACCAGGGGCGGGGGCTCCAAGTGGGTTTTGCTTCGGCGGCGGCGGCCGCCGTTCCGCAGGGGCGGGAAGGGGTGCGGGATCCCGCGGCGGGGCAGGCCGGCCCGGGCCGGCCCGGAGGCGCACTCACCCAGCGGCCCGGAGCGGTCCGGCCGCCGGCGGGCACAGGGGCGGCGGCAGAGGTGGAGGAGCGGGGACCGGAGATCGGAGCGGGGCCGAGCGGGGGCTGTCCCGTGAGCCGGTGCCGGCAGTGGATGTGCGGCTGGCGCGAGGGGATGATGCTGGCGGGGCCGCAGCTGGTGGCGGGGCCGGCGGTGCCGGGCGGGGAGCGGGCCCGGCTGCTCTCACTCTACGTGCAGGACTACCTGGAGTGCGTGGAGTCGCTGCCGCTGGACATCCAGCGCAACGTGTCGCTGCTGCGGGAGGTGGACACCCGGTGCCAAGGTGGGCTCCGGGACTCGGGCAGCGGGAGGGGAGGGAGGGACCGGAGGGCAGGGCGGCGCGGGGGGAGCGGCCGCCCGCCGCACATGCGCTCGGCGCGGGGAGCGGTGCTCCGGGCTGCGGCCCCTCGCCGGGCCCGCTCGGGGGGCGGCGGCGTCGCCGGGGCGCCGCGTTCGGCGTCCGCCGGGGAGGAGCCCCGCCCCTCGTGGAGCGGGGAGCCGGAGCCGCGGAGCCTCCGCGCTCGGCGTTAGGCCCCGGCCTCCCTTCTCGGCGTAAAACCAAGAGGGGGGTGGAAGGGGAAGCGTCGGACGCGGCCCCGCGGAGGAGGCGGGGGTGCAGCTTGCGAGCACGAGGTGCGGAGCTGTGGCACGGTCCGCCGCTCGCGGCCCGCCTCGGCACCCTGCGTTGGTCGAACCGCTCCAACCGCAGCTCTCAGCCTTAGCGCGGCCTCCGCTCCCTGCTCGTGCGTCCGCGGCCCGGGGGGTGCGGGGCCGCTACGAGCCCTTGTCCAACGCCGCGCTGCGGGCGCCGTGCCCGTCGGGGCACGCGGGGCCGTCAGGCGGGAGTCGGCCGCGACTGCGGGCAGGGACACCGTTGCTTTCTAAACGCCTGCTCTGTAGGGGCTGCGCTCCCTCCACCTCGTGCCGTCGGGCTGCACAGCCGTGGGGTTTGTATTTCTAGTTATTGCCGTGCTGCCCCACTGCGAGTATCCAGCGTCGCTGAAACGTGCCGCAGAGGCTGCGCGGCGCCGAGCCGCTGACAGGGCGGGTGCGAGCTTGTCCCAGTGAGGCAGGAGCGTGGGCTGCGCTGCCCGGGCCCCGGGATCCCCTTAAAGTACCCTCGTGTGGTCTGGGTTAGCGTAAATAGCAGAGATGGTGCTTGCAGGAGGGAGCTTGCAAAGCTGCTCCCGTGCTGAGGAAGTTGGAACCCTTTTAGTTTTTTCTCTGCTCCACTAAACTTGAGTAGATTAACTGTAATGGACACTTGGTCCTGGTTTGTTATTTTTAGCCTTTTTTGTAAACAGAGGCTTTAAAGCTGTCTAGCTGGACACGGGTGCCTTCTCCAATTAATAAGGGATTAATAAGGAAGTACTTGAGTGAAGTTGTATCTCTGCGGGTACAAAATTTTTCCTCCATCTGCCAGTTAGAAACTTGGCTACCCTCTGGAGAATGGGAGGGTGTTTCACCTGCTGGTGGTGCATTTAATGTGTTTGGTGTATATCTATCAGCTGCATCCAGGGAGTGACCGATCCAAAAGGTGTCAGTAATGCAGAGGGAATTTTTTTCTCTGTCACTATGAAAAAGCAGTGAGTGCCCATGGGTTCTCCCAGGCAGGGCATTCCATGTGCGGGACGTCTGCAGCTACGCTTACAGTGTGCTTTATGCCTTGCAGAGGGCTGGACAGGAGATAATGTGGCAGCAGAATATTGTCCTCTGATAATGTCTTTCTAGTTCTTCAGACTACAGAGTGCCTTACTTGGCACTTTTCAGGAGCAAAATTTTTTCCCTGTCAAGGCAGCAGATGCAGCTGAAGCTGTAGGCAAACAAAGCCTGGGTTTTCAGTGACAGCTGGAGAACCGGCATTGAGGGAAAAATAGGCTGTGTGAGTTATTAGATGGGCAGAGCACTGACTTTGTCTTCCTCTGGTGAAGATCTGGAGTAGAACAAAGTGCTGTTGGTTTCTGTTTCCATGCAGGTTTCAGAATTTATAGTAAAAAGCGGCGGTTCCCTCTTAAGCTGCTGTTTCAAGATGTCAGCAGGAAAAGAAATCACTGTGAACAACATTGAGATAATAACTATGGCTTCCATTTAGTGCGAGCTCGAATCATTCCAAAACTGTACAAAGCAGACAATTACTTAAAAATGAAAGGCTGTTTGTAAAACAGAGGTTTGCAGAAAGAGAAACTGTTCTGCGTACGTGGCTGTGGAAGTAGTTCATAAATTCACTTACCCGTTACAAATCTGTAAGTTATTTCTGCAGGAGTCGGTACTGTATCTAGCACCCCATCGCATCTTGCTGTCAGCTCTACTGATTTAGTTCCTTCTGCTTCAGCAGTTCCTCCGTCTTTCCTATGTAGATCTAGTGTCACTTTTGGTCTGGAAAATATTGTTTTAAAATCCATCAAAATGGCAAATGTGGAGAACAGAAAAAGGCAGACCTGTAAGGTATTTGTTAGCCTCATATTTGGGTTCATTCAACATGCTTTAAAGGCCTAAGTTCTGTGATTTGTGTGGCGTGCAAAAAGCCTGGGAGTGGAACCGTGAAGCGCTTGCTACCAGCAGCTTGAAAACATCCTGTGATGCATTAAGCTGCAGGTCACCTATTCTGAAAAGTTCTGCCTCACACAACTTGCTGTAACTTCTTCATACAGTGAGCACCACTTGCAGTGGTTTAAGTTGTTTTAAATCCTGACTCTACATCTGCTAACGTGTAACTTCCACTGTCGTACTTAGTTACAACAAAGAGCTGTTGAAAAGGTAATGCCAAACCTTTATGTGTGTAAGGAGGAGGCAGAGGACCTTCACGCCCTAACTTTGCAGTGTAATATGATGGCTACATGAATTACGTGTGATTATAGTGAATTCTAAACTTCTTCCTATGGTATGGTAAGCTTTGGTTTCTAGGCCAGGGCTTTGTAACTACCCTAATAAGGAATCTCAGCAAAAATTCCTGCTTTGTCAGATGCTGAGTCAGTATTTGGACTAACTTCACTTTGGCAGCACTGGTCACCTTTCTGGTCTTACCCTTTCCTTTTTCCAGCAGTCAAAATTATCTTGCTTTCTGTTGAGAACTTGAGAAACTTTTCATGCAACAGATTACCACCTTAAACACTGAAGTGATGCTCAGGTGTAACTTGAATAAAACACCTGATGAAGCCCACTAATTAAAACTCATACTATTTCTCATTGGTTTGTACATGCTCAAGAAAATACAGGAATGTACCTTCTATCTAATTATTTGTATTACGTTTGCTTTGCAGAAGCTTTAAAAGAAATAGACGATGTCTATGAGAAATACAAGTCCGAGAGCGATCCTGTTCAGAAGAAACGCTTGCAGCAGCATCTCCAGCGTGCTTTAATCAACAGTCAAGAACTGGGAGATGAAAAAATTCAAATAGTTACTCAGATGCTGGAACTGGTAGAGAACAGAGCCCGACAGATGGAAACACACTCTCAGTGTTTTCAAGATCTGTCTGAAAACGACAAGCCTCTAGAAAAGGCAAAGATGGAATCCTGCCAGCCAGAGAGATCTTCACGTAGACCTCGTCGGCAGCGCACCAGTGAGAGCCGCGACCTGTGCCATATAGCAAACGGCATCGATGACTGCGACGATCAGCCGCCTAAGGAGAAAAGATCGAAATCTTCCAAGAAGAAAAAACGCTCCAAAGCCAAACAGGAGAGGGAGGTTTCACCCGTAGAATTTGCAATTGATCCCAATGAACCCACTTACTGCTTATGCAACCAAGTGTCCTACGGCGAAATGATAGGATGTGATAACGAACAGTGTCCTATCGAGTGGTTCCACTTCTCGTGTGTCGGACTCACCTACAAACCTAAGGGGAAATGGTATTGCCCCAAGTGCAGGGGAGATAACGAGAAAACTATGGACAAATGTACTGACAAATCAAAAAAGGATAGAAGATCGAGGTAGTGAATGCAATTCGTGTTTTAAAGAGTTGCTCCTTTTATATTGAAATGTTTAATTTCCAGAGAATGCTGTTTTAGGAGATGCATAAGACTATGCAATAATTTTTAATCTATAATATTAATGGAGTATTAAAAGCTGTTATACCTTCTGTGATCTTTAACTTTCTGCACTGAGTAACCAAATAGTTGAAACAGGGTGGCTTCAGACCTTCACAGAAGACGTTACAAGCATACGGCGCTTGATTGCAATTTGACCCCGGTAGTATTTTAAAAACAACGACTTGTGAATCTGGAAATAATGGTGGTGGGAAAGATACTGGAGAACTTCTTTCCACGCTAGGGAGAAGGCAGTGAAATGCCTCACCTAACTGCTGTCATCTTAACAACTGCATTTGTTCTTCATCCCATGTCTTAAGTTTCTGGTTTTTGTGTTACCATCACGCGTTTAGGAATAGGGGTTTTTAATTCGGCTGTAACTGTAAAAGTCTTCCGAGCTAAAAGCAGACCTCTTCAGTGACTCTCATATGACCAGTATGTTATTTCAAGAAAGAAAATACCACTAACTTAAGCTTTTTTTTTTGGTTGATATTAAACTATTGTCTTTGTGACTTTACACGTTGGAGTCAATTTCTGAACTTGACAGACTTGTGGTGTGTGTAAGCAGTATTGGATATTCACAGGGGGTCTTGTTGGGGTTCTGTAGGTCTTTATTAAGGTTTTTTTTTATTTTTGCCACTGTCTATAGAAGCCCAGAAGTGGCAAAAGGATCCCTTGAGAGGGGACATAGACATCTTAGGGAACAGCAATTGCAAATGTGATGAGACTTTTGTCATGATCTCTAAAGAGCTGAAATAAGTTTGATTTTTCTCAAGTATTATTTTTTTCACCTCTACCTCATAGCAGAACTGGAAAAAATAAAAATGATAGAAGCAGCTGCTTCTGTTCCTTTGCAATAGGAGACACTAATAGAGAAGAAAGACATAAATGGTGTACTGAAGCTTACACTTAGAGTTATTGCTCAGCAGTGTTCTTCTGGAGAGACTGCCTGTGCCCAGGTGGTCTTGGCAAGGAAATTAGAGATCACCTGCACACCTGCTGCAGGTGGGCTGCAAGTGCTCTTAAGGCCTCTGTTTTTTTGCTGCTAAGGTGATCTGTGAGGGCACAGGGGAAGAAGAGAGAGCACCTCTCAAGCCTGACTGGAAAGCAGTTATGCTGAGTTGAGAACAGCCTGGAAGATAGAGGACCAGAAGCAAGCCACAATGGAATCCCATCAGAACTCACTCCTGCATCTCCACTAGAGGGCTGTCCCAGCTGGGGCTGGAGGGCTGGGTGTGCTGCACTTAGTGCTTCTTGGCCACATGGTATCAATCAGTGTGCACATCTCCAACTACTACAGCTACATGAAATACTGGGCATATTTCCACAATCAGAATCTGATTCCTTAACAGGACTTAGCATTTGCAAGTAATATTAGGTAACATATGCAAGGAAGTGTGAAGTGACTGTTTCTGAGTTGTTGCTCTAAAGTTTTAGTTTTATTATGTAGACCAGCCTCTACAGTAAGCAGTGCATGTAGAATGGTGATGCTTGCTAGCATTAAAACAAAAACAGACAAGAAATGCACCTATTCAAGTAAACAATGAAATTACAGTAACAAAGCAACAGTGAAATTGTAACTATTAATATTACTAATTTATCTTGAAAGGGGTGCTTGAAATTCTACTAGGTATATCAAGAATACTTGCTTGAAGACAGAAGAAGAAAGTTCAGGAGCCTTATATGATCACCTGAAGTAACTGGTGAGGTATGAACAATGTATGCTGTGGTGTTACAGAAAAGTTTAGATTGTTTCAAAGTGGTTCAAATAAAGAAAGCAGCCCTGCATTAGAGAGAGTGTATGCTAACAGCTCTACTGCTAGGATGTATGAATTCTTAAAGTTCCCAGTGAAGATATGCTGGGGAAACAGCATATGCCTTCCTAATACCTAACATCACTCAAAAGCAGCAGTAATTCAGTACTAGTTTACAAGCAAACCAGCAAGGTACTTCGAATACATACAGGTACATCTAAAATGACTGCTTTTAAATACTCCCAAATCATTGCTAAAACCTGATGCTATCTGGCATTTAGCATTTCACTGCCAAACTCCAGATTTTGGGGTTTTACATCTGTTTTTGTGCAAGTTCAGTGGTAATTACTGAAGACACATGAGATGCTGCTATAAAAACAAGGGTAAGTGGAGAACTCATATGTTGCTTCTTGATGTTGCATTCCTTTTCTGACAAGCACGAATCTCACTAGTGAAGTTGAAATCTGACAGGCACGAATCTCACCAGTGAAGTTGAAATAAATGCTGATAAATCAGGAAAGCTTGAAAATGTGTATTGGCTATCATGAAGCAAAACAAGCTTGTTACAAAAAAAAATCTGGGCAACAAACTGGGAGTTGATAGAAGTGCATACAGATAGAAAAGGAAACTGAAAAGGAAACTGCTTCCTGTGTGAAAATTACTTCACCTTAATTCGGTGTGGAGCAGATGTCGAGCTTAGCTTTTGTTTTGAGTTTATGAAAATATGGTGCACTTACGTTGATTTTTGCCTCTCAGTTTTGAAGTAACATGAATTCATCATCAGCGAAAGGTCCTCATAAACTATTTATAAAGACTGGCACCAGATCAAGAGTGTTTCTTGATCACTGTCCCATGGACCGGTGTAATCCTGACAAAACAGTCATTTAATCAAACTTTAAACCAAAGAGGAAAAAAAAAAAGAGCTAACAGAAAGAACTAATAGTGTTTTGAAGGCAAGATGAGCCATTCAATTGTATTTACTACCTATATTGCGAGGCCATTTTGGTATCTCCAGTATTCACTGCATTGTTCTGGGCTGGTCTCGAACACTACACAAGACCCATAGACAACTCCAATTGCTGTGTCTTGCTTTAAATCTATTGTGTAAGGTACCTGAATGGTTGATTATCAGTTACAATAGGTACAAATATCTTAAATGTAGTCTTCAACATGCCATTATGCATTCAGCCTATTAATTGCTAAAAAGCACAATAATTCCTCTATTTAAGCTACTTTCAACAGTTTCCCAGCCAAACACATTACCTATACATTCCAAACTGGTGAATGTGTTACTGCCAAGTCTTGAAGCTTGTATGGAAGTTTGGTAAGTGAAAATCCAAATTTTATCTGAACTTATCTATGAATGAGGCCTTTGTGAAGATGGCATTTACTAATTCTGAAGATCTCTCCATTTAAGTGTCACTAGTTTCAGCTTTAAAGAACATGTTACAGTCCACCTGAATTCAGGAAAGTGAGCACTTTGGCACCACCATAACTTGTTCCACTGCTGGCAGTAATAGATCAGATTTTTAAAGTCTTAATCTGAGATTCTGTTCTTCAGACTCAATTGGACTGAACTGTGCCCTGTTCAGTTTCCCCTAAAGTCCAACCAGTCTGTTTGGGATTAAAATATAGCAACTGCCACATTAGCAAAGTTAAGGGCTTCGAGTTCTTTCTCCCTCTCATCTGCATACGTGTCTTTTATCTCTAGTAGCTCAGTAAGCTTTTGATACTGACACTTCAGGTTGAAGAAAATTCCATAGGTTTCATATGAAAAATCCTTCTTGCTTTAAATGCTGCAATTCAACGTAGATTTTTTTTCCCCCCTCTGTGCTATTTGGCATACCTGTATCTAACAGAGCAATGATAAAAGCTCCTCCAGATCCTGAAGACACTTTATCGTGTCAGGAAGTCTGACATTTTTCTGTTGCATATGTCAAAGCTAATACTATCTTGGTAGCTCTTGCTGAATCTTGTTTTCAGCTCAAGTGACATACGTATTAGTCCCAGAAGGCACCCTATTTAGTCATTGGCTCTCAGGAAAAAAAGAAAAAGCAACTCTTCTGTTATAGCTTAGAAATAGGATACCTAGATCATCATCTTCTTGCATTCGTTCGGTTTACTAAGTAGGGAACGTTTGAAGTTTTAACTGCAGACATCAGACTGAACTCGCATCTCTGTTCTGCTGCAAGCAGCAAGAAATGAGACAGCACTGCACTCTAGCAGAACATCACTGACTGTAGCATGGCCAATTTTGTATTTCTCAGAGAGGTACTTCACTCATTGCACACTTCTGTTTTTCTTAAACATACATGAAGGAAGTTTTAAATAGCACCTATACAGATTCAGATGTAATTACTTTTCCTTTACTAACAGCCTATTTTACAGTGTAGGGATTAGCGCTTACTGAGCACTTAGAAAACAAATTTCTCCAAAATGTTTTATTGTTATAGAAACCTCCACTGAAAATGGTAGAACTAGTAAGTGAATTCACTCCAGTGATAAGTCACGTGTATAGAACTAGCAGAAAGTTACAGGTTATAGTTGGAGGAGATGGGAAGCAACGGGTCCTTCTGTGTTTGAATGTAATGTGATTTAAGAAGCCTGAAAGGAAACTCTCATCTCTTGCTGAGAGAAAGAATAGACTAAAATGAATTTGTGAACTTTTGAGAATAAATTCCACTAGGAAAATTAGGGTGAAATCCTGTCCCAATTTAAATAAAATTCAGTTGAGCAGGGCTCTACTCACCATGCAGACTTCCAGCTTCCTTTGACTAAAGCCTAAAAAAAGATTAAAGCTCCATGGTAACTGCTATCTTAACTCCTGACAGCCATAGTATAAATTACATCTTGGAAAAACCTAATACTGAAAGTTTTATTTAGGTCACCAGTCAAGCGAAGAAATGGTAAGGATTACAGATACCACCCTCAATTTCCTTCTGCCCCTGCATGGTCTCAGTGAGGCAAAGATTTTTGTGGGAGGTAAACAGGGTGCTATATAATTAGATGCCCAATTAGTTTTAAACTGCCAAGTTCTAAGTGCATTTATTTGTTCCATACTTTTTGTGGAAAAAACAGGGATTAACTTGCTACTGTAGTGCTCCAGTGAAGGATACAGCAAGGTTCATGTGGGAGGCAGCAGCAGCTCAGAGGGGTGCTGCGTGAGGTTACCACAGTAACTACAGGTGCTGGTGGTGGGGGAACAGCGTTGCCCTGTTATTGTTGATATAGAGAGGGGAGGGAGATGGACAGATCATATGGAAATGCCATCTACTTGCTGATTGAGATATTTATAAGTACAAATAGGTTATTAGTTTGAGTGGTGGAAAAAGGACATTACAAGTCCAAAGTAGAGGGGAATTTATGGTAAACAACAGCAAAGCCAATTTGCTGCTGTTCATGTGGAGATTACCTGGTACTGTTATTTCTTAAGCCTGGCTCTCTTGCTCTTTGACAACTTGAGAGCCTGTCCTTTCTGCACTGTGCTTTTCAGGCAGTGAAGAGTCCCTTTAACTGTTGTTTGTGGACCAGTGGCCACATGCCCCCTGCTCTGTCACCTGCTGCACTTTTTCTATACAAACATAAAACTATTCTAAGGCTTCTTTTTAGCCTCACCAGAAAAGCCAAGTTTTAGTCCCCATATCCCACTTGAAATGAGAAAGTACCCATTATTTTCCAAAACTAAAACAGAGATAATGCAACTGTACTAAACTGCAGCCCACTGTATAATTATATTTATTATTTATTTATTATTATAT